TTCCTGCTGCTTATTTCTTTCTGTCAACAGTGGATGTTGGATAGTACATGGTTTCTTTAAAAATATATATGTAAAAAGATAGAAAATTAAAAAATAAAAAAGGCATCTCATCTAAACCACTTCATAATAGCAAAGAAAAACATGCATGGTCAAGAAAGATGGGTTTTGAACTGTAGTCAGTTGAGCTTCATAATTGTTTTGGAACTTTCCAAATAAAAATCTCATTCATCTGTTAACGCCTCATTTTATGTCACCAATGAAAATGACTCAGACTTGCTATGGATTAAGAGATATAGGGTTTAAAATTCTATTGAACTGGTTTCAGAACTAATTCCCAACATTCTTTCAATGTTAATGCAATAAAACAAATACCTATTTTGCATGAGCACAATATTCCAAATAAATCACACGAGAACAAGAGGTTCTGTAGTTTGGAGAATTATTTGTTTGATACCAAGCCTATAAACGTAAAATGTCTAAGGGATTGAATTTACTTTGTTCTGGATCTGTGATTTTTTTGTGTGTACAGTGTTCTCTATGTAAGGATGGTATAAATATGCCTTATACTGTTTTATTGTTGCACCAACAACATTCATCTATTAGTGCTTGTCAGGATTATTTCTGTGAAATGCAAACTTATGGCAGATTGTGAAAATTGGTTTGATGGTCTGAAAGTTTCTGTTATGTTAGTTACTAAAACTGGACAAAAATAAAAGAGAATTTAATGTATTTATTAAAAGAACCATCTGGTAGATTTTCTTGGCTATCATTATCTTCTTTCTTTTTTAAAAATAGAATCAAGCAAATTGTTAATTTTTGTTTAACTTCTTCATGACTACTCTGCTAGGAAAAAAAAATAAAAAAAAGAAAGAAAAAAACAACTTGTTTCAAGAGCAGGTGAAAAATATTTAGGGTAGTGCCATTTAATTGGAAGCCCCATACAGACTCTCAAAGGGGAAGAGAGTTACCCTAAGCAGCAAGGAATTAACTAAAAAACAGAGTGGTTTTACTAATAGAGCTAAAAGCCATTCCAGCTTGTCAAGTTCACAAAAATCAGCTTAGAAACAAAAGATTTAAAATATCACAGCATAGTGCGCTAAAATTACAAAAGAAAATATTTCCATGACTACTCAACTCTGTATGACAAACTTGTTCTCTCAGCCGAGATACAGGAAAATCAATACCATTCTCATTACACCACCACCAAGAAGACAATGGTGGTTCAGACACCCTCAGCTGGAATGGGTAAGGACAGCTGGAATTTGCAATGTGCACACACAGAAACACAGATGCGCTTTTAGAAGGGTTCATCCTCATACATATTCTATAGCAGGAACTGTGCAGTTGTGTCAGAACTGATCATCAGAATATCTGATGGTTATTTTAACTGGTTTAGTCAAAGTAAAGAGGACTTCTTGTATTGTAATTTCTAGGGTTATTCTAATGCCTGTATTACTCTTCTGTCCTCTAACAGGCCTCTTTGAGAAAGACTGTGTACTATAGCTCTGTAACTATCCACTTTTTCTTTTCCCTTTTAAACATATCCAGTGCTAGTTGCTCTCCTACTCAATTCATCTCCAACATTTTGCCTTTTGACAACACCTTTATAACTTGGAAGTGAATATCTGGGATAAGTATAGTCTGAACTGATGCAGTCCAGTCTGAAATCATTCGGCTTCTCAGCTCTGCCCTTATGTTCCTTGCTTGCTTCTTTCTTTGGGGCCTGTAAAATGTATTTCTTCTTTTGAAAGTTATTTGCTTCCTAGAAACACTTAGCATTTGCTTTTTCTCTGTTGTTTAATCTTTCAAGTCTTTCTAGACTTGACTCAATGAAATGTCCAACTATTTAACCATGACTTACTAACCACCAGTGGATATAATTCTGTTTTGTTTTGTTTTAGTCTAAAAACAGACTATTATTGAAAGCTTTTGAAAATGTCACACCTGGTTTTCTTCTGTCCTTTTGAATTTATCTTTGTTGCACTTCTCACACCTTATGCTGTTCCCTGTTACCTTAGTTTAGGCTGTTTCCATCTGGGATGATAACTTTTAGGTTCAGACAGTATCTTAACTTTCCCATTAAACATTGCCATTTGATTTGCCACCTTAGTTATCCTCAGTACTCCAGTCAGTACCTGCTCATGCTATGCCTAGGTGTTTGTTTGACCTATCCATCCATTTTAATTTGTCCGTATATAAATACATTTATGAGCTTTTTATTTCTTGTTTATTTTAACGTAGTATCTAAATTTTCTTAGAGCATTTCATTCTTGAGGAGAACAGAATATTATCTTAATACGTACCCTACCTAATACACGGGCAGCATATGATTTATGATAATGTTAACTGCTTTCTGTCTCTTTACAAGACATGTGAGTGATGTGGCAGATAAGCTACGTTGCTGTTGCTTAGCAGCCACACTGGCATCTTAAGAGGAAGTGTTTTGGTTTTGGAATTGCACAAAGTACAGTGTCCTTCTTTCAGAGTGAAAAATTGGGATGTGTCAAAGAGAAAGTGGGAGAAAACAATGTCTCCAGTGAATCCTTTGGTCATATTCTCTAATTCCCATAATGCTTTTCATCCAGTTCACTCAGTTACAGCTCCAATCCTATCTAAAAGCTTATTGATCTACAGTTTTCAGATTCCAGCCTGTAACTGGGCAGAAAGCAAGCTGAGACCTTTGGCTTAACAGAGTTGCTTGCAGGCGGTTAGATGGCTAAGGCTGGTAGGGAATTCCCAGGTGAAGCAAGAGAGTTGGGTATCAGAAGCATACAAGGGCTTTGACTGCTTCCCTTCATCTTCCCTTTTTCTTACTTTTCTATGATAGCTGCCTTTTGTTTTTCCATTTAAGTCTTCTTTTTATCATAGTTTCAGTTATTCACTTTGTTACACACAGGAATACTCTACCATAGGAATCTATGCCTTTTTTTGGACTTCAGAGGAGGTGGGCAGTACATTAAAGTTCCACTCTATATGAATTTTATTATTTTAAAACATAACAATTTTCTTTAAAAGAAAGAAAGATCAAAACACATTTTTCAATCTTAAATTAAGAGGAGAGTAAATAATACATAAAGTTTGTATTTTTCCTCCATATTTCATTTCCAATTTTCATGTTAATTTCCAGTTTTAGAGAGTTATATCTTATAGTCATAATAACAACATATTTAGTTAAATGTCATTAAAGACCAAGTAGGTTTTAATCAGCAGTTGCTATTATAAATCATAATTGAGAATTGTTTTAATAATATAGATAAACATTAAAAACAGACAAAGGAGTAATACAACATGTAAATGAAGCGTATTTCTGGAAGGTAAGCAATTCTCATTACAAATTGAATTCTTTCTTTTCCAGATTTTTTTTTCTAAATCAACACAATCCCTTAAGTCATCATATTATTGGGAATTCAGATTGGAATACATATCCCTTTATGTTTTTCAGCCAAATTCAGTTCTTAATTTTTATCATGTTCAGCAATATAGAATGCTATATTCTACATTATTATTAAATTATTTGGAGCTGATAAAACTCAACCAATCTTTTTTCACAAGTAGTCTCCCAGTTAGGGTAATATTTCACAAGAGTAACATCAGAATCTGCAGAAAAAAACCTCTGTTATCATTGCCCATGTTTATTCACTATAAAAGTTGATTTTAAGACCTCATAACGGATGTTATGTGTGCCAGTTGTAATATACTTTATTGTTCTAACTGAACAGATGGGCAATAGAGATACAGTTTTGCCATACAATGATGTTTACACCTTTAAAATGTGTGAACAAAGATGAGGATTACATGGAGTAATTAGTCTACTCCTGAAGGAATATTTCTGAGCCCTTCTTCCACTAACATAAATTTACCAGTCGTAGAATAATTGAAATTAATTCTGAAACAGGATTTTAGAATTCACTTTGATTCACTTTGAATGTATTTTTAACATCCTAAATGATATAAAAAGCATCGTTTTGAGGTCTTCTTAAAAAAAAAAAAAAGTGCTTATGCAAAATCATTTGACTTGCTAATGCTGTCTTTGTTCAAGTAACGATATTCAAAAATGTACTTCCTACTGGAGATGGAAAACCCAATTTAGTTTACTTGGTAATGAGAGGGCAATGGTGGGTTCCCTCTATGAATGACTTATGTCCTCTAACCAAGCTCTTTAGAATCCTCAGAAGTTCTAAATAAACCTTCAGCTCTTTGCAGGATCACACTACTGGTATGACTCACCATAAAAATAGTATTCACACATCACTTTATATATTGGAGGCCATCACGTAGTTTCTTCTTTTCCAGGATCTGTTGTCTAAAAGTAATTTCCAACCTGTTTCATATTTTCTGCTCTATCCCTCTCTTTTTCTTTGTTACTATGGATGTTCATAATATAACTTTTACTTAAGAGCTTATCTGTTCCTTGCTTGAAGGTACATATCGAGATTCAGAAGTGACTACTACAGTCTTCACACTGAAAAATCACGGGGGAAACTGGGCACACTTGGGAGTGTTGCTAGTTTGAATAACCTCTATATGACAGGAAGATGCCATACAGCACAAGTTGGAAGGCAAAGTCCTGTCACCCTGCAGCTGGTGCTCTATTTCACCCTGTTGGGTATCCAATACCTTTAGCACTGTTCAGTCACACAATGAAGCCAGCCACAAAGATATTATTCACCAATAAATGAGCTGCTGGTGCTGTCAGCATCCAGTTTGCCATCCACACCTGCTGTGTGTTGCACTGCAGCTAAAGTGGTCATCCTAGGTCAGATATGGTGATGCTGGGCTGCACAAGGCAGAGGCAGGTAAGAGCTGTAAGAGCTACTACTTGCTGTCCTGAATTACCAAGTCCTGTTGTCCTTAGGTGCAGATCCCCAGCAGAAGATGGAGATCTCTGCTGCTGTAGCACACTGTTCCTTCTTTGAAACTGGGCTCGTGAGAGGGTGAAA